ATTTGTAACTTAGAGGGGTTTAAATTACTTTCCACCTGTGTTCTGTTCTTATCCTCTCATCGCATCTTTTTGCAGTCGATCTTCAGGAGCAAGGAGTTTGGTTTTTTCCACTCATTGATGGAAATAAACAGTTTGTTTCCTGAGAAAGACTTGTAGGAGAAAATCTTTCTGGTGATTTCCTATTCACAATTCCCAGTTAAGAGATCTGTTGTCTGATTTATTTTTTTTTAATCCACTTCATGTGTGCCATGTTAATTTTGTTTTAGCCAAATAATAAGCAGTACCAAAGCAAGTGTTTTGTAGAAGACCAAGTATATCAATGCTATTAAATTGACATTCTTAAAATTTATAAGTCGAACTTGTAATCTCATGAAGAAGGATGTCAGTTTAGTTTGACAGAATCTATTTTCCATAGACCTAATTTGATTGATTTCATTATCCCTCTAATTCTTTATTATTAGAGTCCAGTACCGAATATTCTGTAATTTTGCCTTGCTCAGCATTGGGCTGATGGAGCTGTAATTACCAGGGTCATCCAGTCCTCCCTTGAATTTCAGTGGAGAATTGTCTTTCCTCCAGGCTCCTGGAATTTGTTCAGTGCTGTAAGAATTATTGAAAATGGCAAGAGAGCCGTTTGCCCCCTTTTTTTTTTTGGAGTCTGTTCTGTTCAAGCAATCCAGATCATCTCATTTAAACATTTTATAATTTTAGGAGCTCCTGTTTAATATGCACCTGGGTTTCTAGTTAGTAGTTCTAAGTAGCTTCTTCAGGTGTACATAAAACATCTGTTTGTACTGTTACTATTGCTATCTGCTGATGAGTCAGCATGAGCATTAAGGGATCTTTTTTCTGGAATCTAAAAAAAAGTGGTTTTTTTTATACTGACCTTTAACCAGAGATTTTTTTTTTGTTTTCATTTCCTATGATACTTCTGTTCTACCTTAGATTGGTTTCTATCTGTTTCCCTTTATATCTTAATTTCAATATGGAATTACTCTAAGCAGACCAGCTTACAAAAGGAGTGAAGGCAGATACAGCTCTCTAACTGGCATCACCTTCTTCATAGTTGCAGGCTTGGGGTGTATGGATAAATGTTATAAACAGTGTATATTGATTTTTCCATATTTCTCATGGATTGTTTTAATCTTTATGACTTTCAATGGCTCTCTGAAATTGAGCCTTCTGAAATACAAAATATGTACATTACCAGTTTGGGATTGGCTTTCATGTGGGTTTTTTTTTAAGACTCTCAAGTCTTCAATAATTAACTGTTATTGCTTGCTTTTAGACCGGTTCTTTACCAGCTCATAGGAGGTCCACTACACATTTTCTGCAAGGTAGATAAAACACTCAGAAAGAGCAATGGTAGTAGTGATATTACAAGGTGGTGTTTTAGGATCATCTAGAAATATCTCTTGCCTGCCCTACTGAATCGCAGCATGTGATGAACTATTGGATTCCAAATCACAGAAAATATTTACTATTTACGGTGCTGTTCCTGGGAAGTGTAGCATGGGAATGAACTTCAGTGTCTGTGTGGCATCCCACTGAGAGGTCCAGCTGCTTGCTTCCTGCTGCCAGATTGCGTCCAAAGAAATGTTACCCTTTTTGAGTACGTGATGAAAAAGACCTGAAAGTTCATACTGTTTCACCATATTCTGGAACAAATCCTTCTCTTTCTCTACCAGTAACAATTTTTAGTTCTTTTCTATCTGGAGTCTGTGTTTTGTCTGCCATAAGGTGTATTGCTCTTGAGGGTAATTGGAAAATAATATTTTTAGCTGGATATATAATTTTTTGTTTCTTAGCTGGTAAATGTTTAGCACACTAAAACTTTATGATGTCTGCCAGCAGTCGTAAAGCTTTTCACAAGTTATTTTTTTTTTCTGGGTTTATTTTCTCTTCAGTTTTTTGAGACTGGGAGAGAGTGTCTGTCCTCATTAAGTGATGGTGTTTAGGGGAGATATTTGAAAATACAAAATAAACCAAACAAAATATACCCCTGAAGTGACAAGCTCTTAACTGAAAGATTTTCTTTTTCTGGTACAAAGCGAAGCATATGGCTTAAAGCAGCAACAGGAATTTACTAATTGAACCAACTGCACCAGGATTTCAGTATGCTGCAAAGGGGGTTAAGATGAAAGGGTCTTTTTGAATTAACAGAAAGTCAGTGCTCAGAATGTGGTGTAGACCCATCCTAACTTTTTTGTGAGAATATAATCCAGCCAATATAGCAATTAATATATTTGATATAAAATCACAGCCAATAGCTTACGATTAACGGGTCCTAAATTCTGTTACAAGCTTTGTGTATTTCATGATGCTCAGGAGTATGTACTAACAAAAGGAAATCATGCTTCTGTGTACCTGTTATTCTAAGCAGAATTTGATGGCAATGTAGTTGTTTTTATTAAGCTAGGTTCTGCATGCAGACAGCTTTGTTCATGTTGGTTCTCCTTATCCTGCACTTGGGAGAAAATGCTTGTTTGTTTCCCGTTGGTAGTGAGAATCAGAGATGATGATATCTGAATAGCTTGAATAATGTTACTGGAGAACTCCAAGGGTCTGTGAAACTTTCCTCTCATTCTCTTTTTGTATTGTCATTATTTCCTTTCCCTGTAGCTCATGTTGTCTGTGGGTTTGTTATCTATGGCCTCTTCCTTGCAGAAGTATTGACAGAAGTGAGAATGTTCCTATGAAAGATTATTTAAAACTGCTGTATATATTGTAGAGGTTGGTCAGTCTGTGTGCCTCAAGAATAAGCTGCTGGACGTGGAGGCCCATGTTTACGACAGACTGACATAAGTCCCAAGGCTTTGTGTCAGCTACTCCTGTTATCTATATATCTCACCAACAACCAACAGTAGGTTGTTAATGGGAAAAGTAGGCATTGGGGGGGGTGTGTATGTGTGTGTGTTTGTATATATAGACACACACACCCCAGATAACTAGTTATCCAAGCCCTGATCCTTGCATCTTCCTCCATAAAAAGGTTTGTCTCTTAGAGAATGGCTTTCTTCTGCCCAAGACTGTTGAAGATCGAATGTTTTAAGGATTCGATGTGTTCAGAGGCACAGGGACTGGGGCTGTATAAAATCTCAGGTGGACAAGAAGGGGAAGGCATGTCCTGGAAAGCATCTTTACAATATTTCTCCTTCAGGCTTCTTGCTCAGTCAGACTTCAGCTCATTCTTGGTTAATGTCCTGTAACTTGGGTAAGAATATTTTTCTTGAGATTAATTCAGCTCTCCAGGAGGACTGAATATGTTTTTATACTTTTTTTCTGAAGTTAAATTGGTTGGATGGAATTTCTTCCTGGATATAGTGTAGGTTAAAACAGCTATTGCTTATCTTTAGGGCTGTATGTGTGGGCATTTTAGGCATGAACTGCAGTGTCTCCATGGATTTTTAAGGTCTTCCATTGCATCGTTAGCAGCTTTTAGTGCTTTGATCTGATTTCATAAGACAGAAGCGCTCCCTGTATTTGTGTTACAGCAAACGCTGTATTTTTGGTGGCGTCTGACTTTGAGAAACACACAGATGCTTTTTTGTAGTCCGGGAGACAAAGAAACAAAGCTTTGTGCTCGGGGAGGCAGGATCCGTGCCTCCGGGGTGCATCGAGGCGCTTGGTGTGCAGCTGCTTCCCAACCTCCTCCATCTCCTGGTGAGCAGGAGCTGGGTTGCCGTTTTGCTGCTCCCACGGATAAAATCTTCCCCAAGTGCAGTCCTCCTCCCTGGGAGGGATTTTCACACGTTTTCTCTCTTGCTGCCTGTGAGCAGGAGCACTTAGATCCCTGCACATCGGCGCCTAGAGGCAGGTCATCTTTTGGCTCGCTGGTCTCCAGATCAGCTGGAGGGTGGATGAGAAGGAGCGTGGCTGAAATGCAGCACTGCCTGCCGGCTTGGGCTGGCTTAGTCTTGAAGTTTGATTTTCTGTCTACATTTTTAAGTGTAGCCTTAATTAAAAAAAAAAAAAAAACCACCTAAGTATGGCTGTGTTTTCCAAATGTGCAAAATAACTTCAGTAGGAGGCTGGAGGAGGAAGGGATCTGGAAGCGGCTGTCTGTCACGTTGCATTAATAGAATTGATGCTGCAAACTGGCACATGGGAGTTAGAAGAAGGTACTGCTCTGATGTGGGTTCTCACAGCCTGCTGCAGACCCACAGCTCTGTCCCTGCGCTGGGCGAATGAGTATCAGCCTCTCCATCTCTGTGTTCCTTACCCCAGCTATTAACCGGGTCTCTTCTTGCCACTGCAAGTGCAAACACAGATTTCACTGGTAAAACAGAAGCTGTTGAAATCATTTTGGCTGCTGAAGGGAGCTCGTGCCATCCCATGCGCAGCAGCAGTTGTTGTACTGTTTTGGGTTTGCTGTCGTCTCTGATACGCAGAGGAAAGCTTCAGTGCAGTCTCTTATCCTGCCGCGGTTTGATCTGTCCCTTCTCCTCCTATTTCCTGACTGCTTGCTGAGCAATAAAATGAGATGTAAAAGTTGCTGTCTGTTTCTGTCAGCTGCTTCAAGGTTAGTGTTAAAACGCTGTTTCCTAATTTTTGCATTTTAAACACTTATGAACTTGTTTAAAAACAGTAGCAAAAACTCCATGTCTATGTTTTTATCATTTTTTTAAGAGGTGGCGTTGTTAGAGCCCTGGTGGCTCAGCCAGTTACGTGTATTAGGAACTCAGCACAAAACTGTTACACAATTCTGCTGCTGTCAAGCCTCATATGTGTTTTTCAGTAAAGTCCTGGGAAAGGCAGGGTGGGGAGTTGCTTTTTCTGTTTCTAAAGTAGGATCTTCAAGGCAGCCATTTAAAATTTTTCTTAGCTTCCACTCTATTAAGGAGATAATGAAATGGTGAAGAACAGCATAGACACCATAGGGGAAAGCAGGGATGAAATGAACAGTTGTAAGAAAATTGTTTCCACTCTCAGAACTTTTTCCTGTGCTTAAAAAAAAAAATATATATACTGAGTTCTCTTTGTTTCTTGTGTCTCAACAGGGCAGAGTTTAGGGTATGGATTCGTTAACTATATTGATCCAAAGGACGCAGAGAAAGCCATTAACACTTTAAATGGACTCAGACTCCAGACCAAAACCATAAAGGTAAGACAATACAAAATGCCTTTTGATCAATTCAGGAACTGGAGAAAGTAGTTGAAACGGTTTCTGGCAACTTCATCACTATTTTAATCTCCATTGTAAGGGGCACTCAGCTAATGAGCTCCTCCTTGGAACAATGGGAGAGGGGGCAGAAGATGAAATCTCTCTTCTCTGAAACTGCTGCTGTTGTTAAAGGGGAGAGGGGAACAGGAAACTTCTTAAAGCATTGCAGTGAGGCCTAAATGTAGAATAAAACAGCCCTAGTGATACTGTTATCCATAAACAGAGATGATGTACGTGATGGTGTATTCATAAGTTACACATTTTCTTGTGTTTTAATGGGAAATGCCTTGACATGGAGCTCCCTTTTAGTGATACTTGTGTCATTGCCAGCTGTTGAAAGTATGTTTCTCTCAAGTTAGAGTACGTCATTCTCAAAAAATACATTTTTTTCTTTCCTCAGTTTCCACATCCTTAGTTTGATTTATTCTTTTAAGAGCTGGAGGGATTAGAGATCCCGCTGAAGTCTCTCATTTCATTGTTGTAATAGACCATTAGTTATTCAACGACCTTCTTTAGTGGTCTCCCAAGAAAAGCAAGTTTCTACACTGTCACGGTTTTTGCTGCATGGCTGGTAAAGCTTTTTTTGAAACAGCTTACAGAAGATTTCCACATCCTGAATTCTGACAAATAATACAACTTAAGGAATGTGAATCAAAAATTGAAGGTGAACAAACACCAGATCTAATTCAAATTATCTGAAGCTGCTTTGATCGTATTTGACTGCTGACTTTTGATTTGTACCATTTTCTTAATTTTTTTCTGTACTTGGTTTGTATTTCAAAGCTGAACTTGTTAATATAAAAACAGAATTTTTACTTTTGAGAATATTGGTACAAATAATGTCAGTGATTCTGTATCTTGCTAAAAAGATAATGCATGGTCAGTACTTTAGCTGCACTTACCCCTTCTCACTAAAGGTTTTGGTTTGGACAAAGTAGTGTGCCCTGAAGCAAAAATATTTCTTGGATTCCTGTGCATCTCTAAGGATTGTTTCAAGCAAGCTTTTCCCTGGTCTGTATGATTAGTGAAGAGTGGAAGCCCTGAGCTGAGGGTTGTGACAGTGGTGGAACAGCTGCATGGATTACCTAGCAAAGGCTGCTTCCAAACCCCTCTTAAATAGAGGAACTTAGAGGAATATGTAAGGCAAAGCAGCAAAATCTACCGTCTTATCGACCACTGCAGGTGGGAATACATGCTTGGACTCAGCAGTTTCTGCTTTTTTGGAAAAGTTGAGCAGTAAGTTGTTCTCCAAATTGCTTTTAAAGGCATGTTATCAGGAAAAATATAATATTTTGAAAGTGCTAACCTATCTTCTAAATACTTCATTAAAAACTCTGTAGAACTTGAAAAATCTAGATCCATTTTTAGTGCAGCACTTCTGTATTTTGAACGTGATTTGGTGTTAGCAAAGGTGCTAACTGTTCTTGTCCTAAATACCTATGCTGCTTTGCGTCTTTTTTTATTTTTTCTGAGCCAGAGCAATGCTATTGTATTCATAATATTTCAAGGTTACAAGAAACATCCAAGCTACAAAAAGGCCTTCAACACACCCCAATTATTTTTTTCGATTTCTCTTAAATGCAAATTCAAACCATTATGCCTTCCTTTGTGTATAGTAACATTTTTGTTATTCAGGAACTTCCCTCACTAAAACATCTTTGAAGAATGCTTTTTCTTTAATTTTTTTCCAATTCAGTGTAAATTTTATGAATACAAATGGTTTATTAGGTTTGGGTTTTCCATGCTTATGAATAGCTAGTAGACTTTTATAGAATACGTGACACTTTGGGCTCTTTAAAGCTGTTAAAATTTAATAAAAAGCAAAGAGGCTGGCCTAACCAATGTGCACAGGAGCTGCATAGTCTCTTCAGTGATTGGGAAGATATGTGTAGGTTTTTTTAAAATAAAATTGTTTTCAAGTAAGTGTTTATGCAGTTGCCTAAAACTGTCCCAAGGGAGCCTTCTGCTCAAATAGCCAAGCTTTGGGCACATGGACATCTAATCAGCAGTTTCCAGCCCAATTTCTAGTTGCAGAATTGCATGCAGATATCTCACTTTAGCCCCTTGGTTTTTTTATATTTTTAATTCTGTTTTGCTCTTAGAACTCTTAATAATGTAGGTCTGTTTCCCTGGTATTGTGTGATGGGGTGGAGGTTTCCCAGCCTTCGTGCTGAGCAGTGAATCATGTGCTGCTGGGAGCAGTAGAAACACCCCTGTTGCCAGAGATGTCCCTGGTTTCCCAAGGGCTGCAAAGTGATGAGAAATTGTAGTTGGTGCCGCTGAAGTTTCCTAGTTTGCCTGTTGCCCCCACTTGCCCCTTTCCAGCATCTTGCTGTGATTCATTACAAAGTTAAAATATTTTAATTCGTGGAGTTACTATATTTAATTATCAGAGCCGATTACTTTAGTCTAGCTAGATGCCCTTTGCAGTTATTAAAAATGCACTTTTGCTGCATTAAAGTCTGTCTCAAAAGAAAATATAGAAAGGGATCTGGTGGCATATAGTTTTTGGAGGCTAAAAATTTAATTAAATACTAGAATAACATAAGCTGGAAAAATACTGAGCATTACTTTATTCTGTTCGCTGCATGAGTGTGGTTGGGTTTTATGCCCCAGAATGAATCTGATGTCCCCTTGATGGACAGGCTGAACCTTGGCCTCTGTCCGTGTATGCTGGGTAGCTCCAGCCCTGCAGGTAGCATTTCTCTAGCTACCTTTTGGAAGCTGTTTTGATGGAAAGTTGAAATGTATAATTTGTGGAAGCCCTTTCACAGGGCAGATTACTTCTGCTTGCCAAGGTCACCTTGGTCCTGCCAGCTGTGTCCCATCTTCTTGCTTGAGCAGTCGCAGGCTCCGCTGTCCCTTGTGCCCAGACTGAATGTGAGCTGGGTCTGGGGGCTCATGTTTGCAATCATTTTTTGACCCCACAAGGCTTAATTCCTGTTTTTAAAAAAAAAAAAAAAAAAATTCTGCGTGTGTCCCTGGATGCTGTCCTTTTTCACTTCTGTAACATTTTTGTGGCAGCTTAATGTTCTCTCCCTCCTGATGCCTTGCAGAACAACCATGCAGTCACAGAGGAGCTGGTTTTAGAGCAGGATCAGCAAAACAGTCAGGCACAGTCTGCTCTCAGATGCGCGGATGAAAATAACTGAAGAAATGTTCTTTTTATTATTTCCTTGTTACAATAAATAATCCCTTTTCACCGGAGCAGCTAAAATATTTATGTGCATTTTATTTAAGTCAATTATGCCCTTTCAAGTCAAAGTCAAGAGGTGACTATTTACAGAATATCTGTTTGGGGAAAGTATTGAAGGAAGTGTTACCCGTTTCGTGGTAATAGGTTATGCACGTTATGTTCCTCCTCAGCTGATCATAGCGCATATTTTATTTACGCCATTTCATAGCACCATCATCTTGTGAGGGAGAAGGGCTTCACTCTGTTTTTACAGCTAAAGCTTGACATAATTCTACAAAACAGCTTTGAATGAGGGAAGATACAGCGTGTGCTGAAATAAATATATATTCCAGAAATTGAATCTATTTTTAGAAATTAAATTTGCCCATCCATAAAAGCATATGAAAGGTCATTGCTGCTGTTGAAGATTGCCTGGCAATTCAGTTGCATCAAATATCAGAAGGAAAATAAGATGTGTGGTGCATGGGGTACAGATTGTTTAAACTGTGCTGCTTTGCCCTGAAAAAAAGGACAACGTCTGAAAGGATGGGAAGGAAGTGTTTTACAATTTACATGGGAATTCAGGTGACCCGGCTTCCTGTTGGGGGATGCTGGAACAAGGGCAGAACAGAGTTTTGAAAGGAAGTTAGGAATCTAAAAAGAGCTGGTGACCCCCTGAAGTGCAGTCTTGTGTCCCCCTCTCCTTCCTTTTCTGTGTCGCATGAGAAGTAGGTTGGTTTGTTTCTTCCCTTGAAGGAGCAGGTCGCACGCTGTGACACTGCTGGGGCAAAGGGAGAAGTCACCGCTGATGGGAGGAAGAATCTGGGTTCTCTGAGCCCTTGATGCCTTCCAGTTTTTACATCCATCAAATCTGTCAGATGATAAAATACCAAACAGATAAGATCATTCCTCGGGTCAGAGGCTTTCTTTAATTATTTTAATTTTCAGTTAAATGAATAAACAAGATGGAGCATAGCTATGGTTATTTTGACATTTCCTATTAGTTCGAAACATTTATTTCTGCTTTATGCTTCTGTTTGATGGATAGGAATGGATGGTCCTGGCTTAAAATACAGCAGATAGGGCTGTGGGAGAAAGTACTCCTGTGTTTTCTGGAAATAACGTAGTAACGTTACTGCTGAAAGATCTTGTTATTTATCTTGGTTTCTCTGCTGTTTTTTTGATACACCAGGTGGTTCTACAAAATTTGGGCTCTAAATTTGTCCATGTTAATTCTTGTCATTGTCTGCAAAGCTACAAACCACCCTGTCACTGTCGGGTAACCAAATAACACCAACCTCGGACTTCTCTGTCCTACGAAACCATTTGTCACAAAGATTGCCTCCTGTCATGCTCTGCTTTGCGAGAGGTGTGGGAAGCCCGGGGCAGGGGAGGAGGAAGGCTGCGGCAACAAGGGATGGGGGGACAAGCTGCATCCTCTGCACCCTGTCCCAAACCACTGGGGAGGTCTGGGGGGAGTTAAACCCAACAATTCGCGTGGCAGCCAGAAAGTGCTGGCCTGCTGGTAGATACAGTAGCAGAACTCTGGTGTTGGGTGCCCTTGGTGTGCAATACTCTGCAGAAAACTGTGTTTCCCACTCATGTCCTCCTATAGCCTCCCCCGGGGGCTACTGGCCACTGAGCTGGCCACCACCTGCAGCTGCCCCTCCCAGTGGGGATGTTGTGCACGACGAGGTGGTAAGGGGAGGATGTATGGAGAGATCTGGGGATACTCCGATTTCTGGGGGAGCTTGGGAAAACTGAA